GTAAATGTAACATCCAAACTTTTGGGCCTAAAAGTACCAGAAATAGCCTGAATTGGATAGGCTACTAGACTTCTTTTGAGCGGAAGTCCCAAAGATGAGAAAGGAAGTCAAAGCAGTTTCAGGGACTAAACTGCAAAGTGAAAGTTTTTAGAGGCTCAAGTATAATCAAGTTAGAGGCTCCAGTAAAGTCTCGAAGGCCTAGAGAGAGAAAAGATGCTAGATACAGGCCAAAGGTTAAGTTAGAAACCTCAAAGAGAGGATTATATGAAGATAAGTCCAAGCAGGGACTAAACCGTAAATTTAGAAAGTTATGACTAACAGGGGTAAAAATGGAAGAGTATACAGAGAATTCCAAGAAAATCCCAGAAAATGGAAAATAATATTCTAAGGCTCTTCTGTTAAGAGAAAAGATGAAAATACCCCTGAGGCAGCTTAAATGGAATTTATGATGCTAGGGTCGGTAAAAAGTATACCGTTTAAGGTAATTATTTAAAATAGCAAGAGACCTCAAAAATATATACAAAAATGATGATAAATGTTTGAAAGGTTGTACTAATTTGTAAAATTAGTCTCGCAACCAAAAGGCCAGTGGAGTGACTTTAATAAATTAAAAAGCCAGTTTTACCGATAAAAGGGTATTTTAGTAAATAAATTTTTACGCAAGGCTTAAAGGAAGTGTTATGGCCTAAGAAAATTCATAGATATTCTCTAGAATTAAAAGAAATCTATGGAGCAGATAGAAGAATTTTCTGAGCTCCGGAAGGCTATAAAGAAAGCCGGAGAAACGTGGGCCAAGTAAATTCGGAGGAAACTTATGAAACAAGTTTGATCCAACGGCTAGGATCTAATCTCCCTTCTCCTCTACCACTTTTATGACACTTGGCACCTTCTAGAAGAATGAGGTAAGCATGATGCGAGAAAGTGATACAATGATGATGCAAAAGTCCACTTGAACTTCCAAGATTGCCCTTACTCCTTCTTCTAGCTACCAAGGGCATTTTGGTCCATTCAAGCCAAATTTTTGGCTATAAATAGACCCTCCCTCCTTCACATTTTCGGCCAAGCTGAAGAACACTAGGGGAAAATCTTGCAATTTTGATTCTTGAAGCTTAAATCAAGAGGAAGACACCTACTTTGATAAACCAAGTTTAGATCTAAGGTTAGTAAGTTGTTTCCTCTTGTTTCTTGCTTTGAATCTTTGGTTTTTATGGTTGAAAAGTTTGGTTTCCCTCAGTGAAAGGTGCTGGCCAAAATTAATAAGAGTTAAAGGAGGATGATTTTGATGTTAAACTTGGTTAGAACACATTGATTAGAGGTTGTTTCAAGTGGATCTATGTGGAAATCGGAAGAATTATGTGATGATTTGATGCCTGTTTCAAATAAGTTACCTTTTGTATCTGATTTGAAACTTGGCATGCTTAAAGTACACCCTATAAGCTTTAAATCCATGGGTAGAACACTTCATTTGGATATGTGTACGATTTATGGTGATTTTTCAAAGTTAGAGTTTGAAATCTGGAAACAGTGTTGAACTTTTGGAAGAGTGTCAAGTTCTGTACAATTTTGGTACTGTTTAGCATAGAATTGGTTCCAGAAACTATTTTTCCTTTAAATTTAACTTAAGGACGTTTTAGTGGGACTTGTAACCACTCAATTTTGATTTTTCTAGAATTAATTATGAATTTTCAAAGTTGAGTAAAAATTTTGGAGTTTTCGCATGAACAGTACCCGCGAATCAAAATTTCCAGATTTGATATTCTTGAATCTAAAGCCATCTAAAGTGGTTCTAATTGACAAGAAATAGACCTTAAGGATGGGAAATGATGATATTTATGTTAGAAAAGCTAGAAAGGAAACCCTAAAAGCAAGAGAAAGGGTTGAGGTTAAAGAGAGCTAGTCTTGAACTTTATGTAATCTAGAGGTCTTAATGGATTGTATGATCAATGTGACTATGTTTAGGACCTTTAGAACATCCAAGAGGATGTTTTGTGATGTTGACCGAATGCCCACATGGTTGGAAAGTCAAGGGAGTCAAAGAAAAAGTAAGAGGAAAGCTTGAGGTGCAAGGTAGTGAACTTACCTATTGTCATTGCTTGATGTTGTATGCTTGTGTGTTGCCGTGTACATGTTATTGAATGTTATTGTGACATGTTTTAGCTACTGTAATTACTATTCATGATGAGTAGATTATGTCTGCATGGCGATGCATCAAGAAGTTAGCTTTGAGCATGCTAATATGTCACTAATTAACAAGAGAATAAACAAGTTACGTGTAGTGCATTAGCATCCATCTAGCATGATTAATATGGTATTGTTTGCTATTGAGATTCCCCCAAATCTCACCCCTCCCTAACCAACCATTTAGGTCAATCATTAATGGGCATTATTGGCATGATAAGCAAGGAGAAGAAAGCGGACAAGTATTGACGTTAATGATTAAGATTATGTTCAATGTATAATTCTCTTATGTTGTAAATTTATGTTATGAATGCTATCAATTCAATGTGTGTGTTTATAATGTTTATGGCATGAATAAAAGTGCATGAGTATGAATGGGAAAGAGTAAGTCCATGTTGTGCATGTCAAAGAAATTAAAAGAATTAATGCAAAAGTTAGTTAAGGGATAAAACGTAGGTCCTGCAGCAGTTAGTTTTGGGCTTCAGTTTGACCTATCAAACGAATGAGTTAAGTCACGAGTTTTGTTAGAATCATAGTAAATATCCCAAGCTTTAAAATGAGAGGTAAATCACCTCTTTTGGATGTGTACACAAGGAGATATGAATCTCCAAAGTTGAGGCACAGAATCTGGAAAGTCCAGATTTTTACCAAATAAACAGTAATATTCATTGATTAAACTGTACGAATTAGGTAAGGATAAGTCCAATTGGATATTTTTTCCTTAAAGAAAATTCAAAGAGCTTTTTGTATAATTTTAGAACACCTCCAGACGATTTTTGTAGAATTAGTTATGCTTTTTCAAAGTTGGACCTGTAATCTGAAATTTACACAGTGAACAGTAATTTTGGAAAAGTAACGTCCTAAAGGAGATTTTGAGCTCAAGACCATCCAATGTGGTAAAAAAGGATTCTAAGATATTATATAAGTAAGGTGTGGCAGTACAAATATGATATATGTCATATATATAGATTTTTGAACTAAACAAAATTAATTTAAATAGTAAAAGCCAATAAATGAGCAAATCTGAACTGATTAAAATTAACTACTTATTTACCTCTAAATTTCTATGGTCATCTTTTATCAAAACTCAATACTTATATCATATATAGGTCTTAATGTTTTTTCTAATCACTACAATAATAATGTCAATAGGAAGCTTAAAATATATAGGAAATATTCATAAAAAATTTGATAAAAAGAAGTAATGTTATGTACCTAAAATATCTTCAAAGCTTGTCCTCTCCTTCATCGGTCTGCTCCTCTCTCTCTCATACACTCTATCTCTCTTTCTCTCTTTCCTTCTTGCGCTTGAGGGGAGGAATTGAATTGTGGGGGGTGTATTGAACACCCCCACACATTTATTAGGGGGAGCTTCCCCCTAATAAATCCTCCCCAACCCCAACTCTCATCTTCGGTAGAAAGTTGACTTCTTCTTTTTTTAAATTAAAATATTATGATTTTATTGTAATAACAAAATATTATTATTTTATACTATTATATATATTTTAACATTTTTTAATTTTTTTGTAAATCCTATACTAAAATTTAGCATATTACAACTCTCCTCACATAAATAGAATTTTGTCCTCAAAATTCGAACAACCACATACAAAATTAAAAACAAAAACAACTCAAGGTGCTTACTAAGAAAATAAGTAAGAGTATTCATAACGCATTCGTTTCTCAGTCTCCCAAGTAGCATCACCTGAACTCATACCCTTCTAAAAGAGCTTAACAAGATGGATAGTCTTATTTCTTAATTGTTTGTCTTTAACATCCAAAATCCACTCTGGTTCTGCTGGATAGGTCAAATTATCATGCAACTCAACCTCTTCGGGCTCAATAACATGAGACGGATCTGGATGATACTTCTTCAACAGGGACGCATGGAACACGTTGTGTAAATTGGAAAGATGTGGTGACAGCGCAATGCGATATGCAGCAGGTCCAATCCGCTCCAAAATCTCATAAGGGCCCATGAATCGGGATGTAAGCTTCTTGGCCTTGATGGTTCTGCCCATACCTGTGACAGGTGAAACTTTCAGAAATACATGATCACCCACTTCAAATTCTAAAGATCTCCTCCGACGATCCGCGTAACTCTTCTGTAGACTTTGGGCCATCAACAACTTCTACTTGATTAGCTCAATCTTTCTGGTTATGATGTCCACTGAATTTGGGCTAACAATTGTTCTTTCACTTAATTCAATCCAACAAAGTGGATATCTATACTTCCTCCCATATAAAGCCTCATAGGATGCCATCTGAATACTAGAGTTATAGTTGTTGTTATAGGCAAACTCTGCTAATGACAAGTGAGTGTCCCAACTGCCCTTTAGCTCTATAGCGCAAGCCCTCAACATGTCCTCAAGAGTATGAATAGTCCTCTCGGTCTGTCTATTAGTTTGAGGATGATAAACAGTGCTAAACTTGAGCTTAGTGCCTATAGCTTCATGTAATGACTGCCAGAAGTTCGATGTAAATCTTGGGTCCCTATCTGAGATGATAGACTCCAACACTCTATGAAGTTGAATAATCTCATCTATATATAACTTTGTCAATCGTTCCAAAGAATAAGTACTCCTGATAGGCAGGAAGTGTGCTGACTTAGTCAATCTATCCATAATTACCCATATCATATCATGGCCAGCTGGGGTCCTTGGCATGCAAGTGATGAAGTCCATAGAAATACTATCCTATTTCCATTGGGGAATATCAAGGTTCTTTAATAGTCCTGGAGGTCTCTGATGTTCTATCTTGACCTTTTCACATGTCAGATGCTTTAATACAAAATCTGTGACATCCCTCTTCATTTTTGACCACTAGTTGTTCTTTTTCAAGTCCTGGTACATTTTGGTTATCCCTAGGTGTATCATATAATTACTCTGATACGCCTCTTTAAGAATAGTCTTTTTGATTTCCTCATTATTAGGGACACAAATCCTTTTCTTGTACCTTAAGATTCCTTCTTCACTAATTTCATAATTAGGCACATCACTGGTCTTCACTTCCTCTCGGATGCTCAGCAACCAATCATCCTCCATCTGTGCTGCCTTTAAGTCTCGAAAAAACTCATAATCACCCAAAATTAATTGTAGAATGGCTGGAGCCTCATGCACCACTTGGAGATCTCTTAATCCCTCTAAGAAATAGTGTTCTTCTAAACTCGTGTGAAAGACATACACTATTTTCCTACTCAAAGTGTCTGTGACCATGTTGGCTTTACTCGGATGATACTTAAACTCAAAGTCATAGTCCTTGATGAATTCTATCCATCGGTGTTGTCTATTATTTAGTTCTTTCTGATCTACTAAATGCTTTAGGCTCTTATGATCACTGAAGACTTTAGACTGTGATCCATATAAGTAGTGCCTCCAGATCTTCAATGCAAAAATGACCGCAGCTAATTCCAAATCATGTGTAGGATAATTCTCACCATGCGGCCTTAATTGCCTAGATGCATAGGCAACCACCTTACCTTTCTGAATCAAGACACACCCTAAACCCTTAAGTGAAGCATCGGTGTAAATAGCGTACAATTTAGTAGGATTTGGAATAGTTAACACTGGTGCCGTGGTCAACTTAGCCTTTAGTTCTTAGAATGCTAGCTCATACTTTTTGTTCCAGATAAATGGCTGGTCTTTCTTAGTCAACTTAGTTAGAGGCATGGCGATATGAGAAAATCCCTTGATGAATCTTTGGTAATACCTAGCTAAGCCCACGAAACTTCTAACCTCCATTATAGATTTTGGTGATTCCCATTTCAACACGGCATCAACCTTGCTGGGGTTAACCGCTACTCCCTCGGTAGATACTACATCACCTAAGAATTTCACTTCTCTAAGCCAGAACTTGCACTTGCTTAACTTAGCATACAATTGATAACACTCTCAATATTTGCAATGCAATGTAAAGATGGTCTCAGTGTCTTTCCTTGTTCTTAGAGTATATCAGGATATCATCTATAAACACTACAATGAACTTGTCTAAGTACAGCCTAAAGATCTTGTTCTTATAGTCCATAAACACTGCTAGAGCATTCGTCAAACCGAAAGGCATCACTAGAAACTCGTAGTGCCCATATCTAGTATGAAATGCCGTCTTTGGGATGTCTTCTGCTCTGACTCTTAATTGATGATATCCCGACCTTAAGTCAATTTTAGAAAACACTGTTGACCCCATTACTTGATCTAGCAAGTCATCAATCCTAGCTAAGGGATATTTGTTCTTGATAGTCACTTTGTAAAATTAGTCTCATCCTTAGAAGGTCACTAGAATGGCTTTAAGAAAATTTAAAATTCAATTATGCTATTTAAAGGGATTTTACGAGAAATTCAAAAAGAAATATCTATGAGTCGAGCTATGGTCAGAGAAAATTTGCGGATCTTCTCTAGAATTAAATAAAGTTAATGGTATGGATGGATAAATTTTTAGAGCTCTGTATTAAATAAAATGCTCCAGTCAAATGTTAAATAATTTTTATCTCCTAAATAGGAGACAAAATTTAAGAAAATATCAAAAGTCAATCATGAGGGCGCTGAGTTAGCATTCTGAGTCGCCAAGGTGCATTTATGACGTCTCTGAGTCATTTAATAGGTTACTGTGAGATAATTATGGATAGTAGAAAAATCAGAATGCAATATGGGTATGTCTCAGACAGTCCTTTGTCTACCCAATACAGCAAAATCTCTACTGCGTGACTCAGTGAGGCTAAGTAGCTTATCAATAGAGCTAACTATTTTCTTCTATGCTCCCTTGAGATGGCACCATATGTGGACTTATTTGAGATAAGAAAAGGGTGCCAGAACACGTCCTAGTGGTACTGAGTAAGTTAAGACCCAAAAACATACCCAATACAATACAGAATGACTAGGTAGAAGAATACCTAGGGGTCATATTTTACACAAATTTCCTATTAATTTTCTCCTTATTGTAATGCTAAAATGATGAAGGGACATACAAGGGATTATGTGTATAGTTAGATGGGAGGAGAAGGTATTATGTGTTAGGATTATAGTTTTGATGATAACAAAGTCAGATAATTTGGGTTAAGTATTTTGATCGATCAACTGATCGATCAATCGTTTATCGCTAAGGTTACAGATAATTGTTCAAGTGTAAATCAGGTTTATAGTAGGTATTTTGATCGAAGAACTATTCGATAAGTAGTTAATCGATAAAATGATCGATTATCGCTAACGTGGAAATCACACAAGATTATGGTTAATTATCGATCAACTGATCGATAATATCAGATAAACAATCGAGTTACTGATAAAGAGAATCAAATCTAAAGTGTATTTATCGATCACATGATCGATAAAGCAGTTATCAATAACGACTTCGATAAAAGGTAACACAATCTACTTGTTCTGCACATTAATTTGTTACCAATTTATCGATCATATTCTCGATCATTTGTTTATTGATCACATGTTCGAACATTATGCTCTAACTCTCTGAATGCAGGTAATCATCTTTACTGATGGATCGATAACCTTATTGATCATAAAATTATCGATCACATGATCGATAATCAATGTCTTTATCTACTCTCATTTAGTTTTCCTGCAACCAAGTTATCGATAACATTATCGATAATTTAACTTGTTTGCATAAATATCTTTTCACATAACATGATCGATAAAAGAGTCTAAGGATTGCTATATTCGCATTAACTTATGTTGAACTATTTTCGATCACCTAATCGATCATTGGATTTTCGATAATATGATCGGTCATTCAATTCCCTGAAACTCATGTTTTCACAAAACGTGATCGATAATCAGTTTCTTTACCTTACAGGATTAAATTTCTTTTCTCACTTTATTCGATCACTTGTTCGAATATTCATTGATCGATCACCTGTTCGATCACTTCAGATAGTCTGTGTCTTTCACTGAATATATTCATACTCATGGTTTATCGATAACATTATCCATCATACATTTATCGATAAGTTGTTCGATCATCAATGACTGAAGTTTCATTTCAATAACATTTGAAATTTCGATAATCTGTTCGATCAAACAAGTGTTCGATCACTTGTTCGATCATGGAACGATTTCCGTTTACTATGATAATTCTTAAAGTCAATGATCCAACACTTGATCGATAATATTGTTGAACTAATTCGAAAAGTCTTCATTCTGTTTATCGATAACATGATCTATCAACAAGTAATCGATCATCTCTTCGATCAAACATATCCAGAATGTCTTTCTGCTCTTCTTACAGATAAATCATTTCGTCCCAAATCATTGAATGATAAATTCGTTTTCTCTTCTTAGTTCATGACTAAAGTATTCACCGCAAGACTCTTATTTGTTTAAAGTTTAAAATATGCAGATTAATGAAAAAGAATACAACGGCTCTTCAACGGGATTACGTAGACTGCAACCTACAGTGTCAGAAGCTCAGACGCATTAATGGCGGAACCGTTGAAACCAGCAAAACACGCAAACGGAGTCACAACGGCTAGAAGCTCTTCCGTCTAACGGCTACTTAACGATATCAACTATAAAAGGCGCGAAGAAGCATTAATGAAGAGATTGAATACCGGAACTACCATCTGTGATTATTAAGTCTAGCATTCAATACTCTGTTTTCCGCGTTACTACCGAGCATCAGTGTTCATCATTAAATTCACTCTGTAAGAGAGCTAATTACTACTCTTATTAAATACTTGAGTGATACTCAAGAGTGTGGACTCTTGAGAGGGCTTGTATCCTTACGGGAGTAAGGGGGAGTGATTGAGCGATTCAATTATTGTACCGAGGCACCAAGAGCCCTGTCGATCTTGGAAGATAGTGAAATACTCAGAGGTGTTCTGGGGACTGAAGTAGGTCAAGTGGTTAAGACCGAACCAGTATAAATCTTGTGTCTTCCCTCTGCGGTGAAATTTCTCCTGACTCTAACTCTCTGTTTTTATTCAATACTGTCACGCATTTAATTTAAAATTTTTGTAACTCACCCAATTCACCCCCCTCTTGGGTGAGATTGTTTCTAACATTATGTGTACAGTTAGATGGAAGATGAGATATAAAGAAAGGACACATGACATTAAATAAGGGGGTAATGTGGCATGATCAAGATGTATGATAAGAGGATAAGGGATACTTGGTAAGATCATAAGGAAATATCAAATGAATGGCCAACATTAAGCCATATATACACAAGATCAAGGGCCAAGATTTAAGCTTGCTAATTCTAAATGCCCCTTACCCTCCCATTTGCCCAAGTTTCAGTCAACCATGGAGAAAGAAGAGAGGGAGGCTGAAATAGAGAAGGAAGAAGGAAGAAGAGGAAGTGCTCCATGTCCCATGCAAGATCAAGCTCCAAAATAAGGTATGTTTATAGTTTTTGATGTAGTTTCCATTACCCTTGTTGTTATTGAGCTTGGTTAAGGCTTGAAAGGAATGAGAATGAAGTGGTTTTATTTTGAAATTGGTGGAATTTCATGATTGTGTTAATTAAGAAAATTGTTTGGCCAAGCTGGGTTTAATGCCTTAGGGTTGGATTTTAATGATTTTGATGCTTCCAATGAGTTTAGAATAAATTGTGTAGAGTAAAAGTAAGAAAACAAGTTTGGAAGTATTAGACTTAAAAATGAAATTTTTAGGTCCTAAAGAAATACCATTCAGCCAAGTTAAGAAATGGGGGGAAGGAGTTGGATTTTGTTAAATCCAATGTCATATTTGGACTCCTCATGAAAAAATGTGTAGGAAATGACTAAGGGAAGGATTTTAAAGGCTATGGAAAATAAAGTGAAATTTAAGGTCAAAGAGGAACAAGTTTAAGAGTTAAGATAGCCTTAATAGATTGGCTACTTTTATGTATTGTGAATTTAGGACCACAAGACACCAAGAAAGAGGAATGGCAAGATTGGTCAAGCAATCTTGGTGGTTGGGAGCAAGTAGAAAGTTTAAGGACAAAAGGTAATGAACTTACCTTTCTTGTGTAGTTGATGTGTATGCTTGTGTGTTGATATGCATTATGTTGTTTGATGATGATATGAGATGCAAATGCAAGTATAATGCTTTGTTTCTTTTATGTTTTTCATGGCCCAGCATGTTAATGTGAAACATTAAGCATGAGAACATGTTATAAGTAAGCATGAGCTAGATCAAGTAAGCATGCCATACACTTGCATCCATCTTATATGCATCAATGGTAATATTTACTACTGAGATTCTTCCAAATTTACCTTGCCTTAACCAACCCTGATTAGTGATAATGATCAAGCAAAGTATATATGAAGTGGAAGTAAGGAAAAGAGGAAAAGATTTGAAGAAATCTATTGTATTACATTGTGTAATTGGTATACCAATATATGTTATAGATCTGCCATTGATGTCATGTGATGACAATTGATAATAATGGCATGAATAAATGGAATATAGTGATGAATAAGAATGATTAATATAATGTTGGATTGGTATTACATATGTATTGAATTTATTATGAGTTATTAATGCAAGTTAAGGGGATAAGTTATCCCTAAATGAGCCACAAAATGATAGTCAAGTGAAAGTGAGACAAACGATTGATCCTACCTGTGAAATTTCATAGGCTTAAAATAGACATCTTAAGCTTTAAAAGAAGTGGTTGATCACTTAAAATGTATGTGTATACTAAGAGTTATGATCAGTCAAATTTAAGGTAGATAAACTGGAAAATAATAGTTTGACCAACTAAACAGTAAATTTTCACGAATAAACTATATAAATTAGCATGGGTTAAGGCCATATTATATATATATATATATATTTTTCTTATAGAGAATTGAAGGAGCTTCAAATTAAATAGAATTTTAAACCACTTGAAATTTTTTCTCTATA